GCCATCTGGGTATTTCAAGCTGATGGAGACGGAGACTACATGCTCTATCATTTATACGAGCGAGTGGTTATTTTCTTGTGCTTGATTATGCCTTTGAAACTACACTCCAACCCCGGTGTTTTTGGTGTTTGGTGCATTTCTGACAGACCACACGTCAGCGGATGTCAGACTATACATTACACGTACAACAAAGTGTGAAGCATTGTCTGGATCACAGCCCCATTTTGGATCTAGATTTGATCAAACATAACCATATCTACACAGGCTGAACTGACTGCATGCAAATATGAATTCAAACAGATATCAATTTGTCTTTGATTTAGATTGAAATTTTCTTGGCGATAAAACTCATTAGCTCATCTGAACATGCATATTATTTATTGGTAGCAAAAGTAGCACATTTCCCTCCACCTGGATGAGAGTCTTTTTTTCATCAGGGAAAATAAAATGAATTTGTTGTTTGGATATTGCACACAGATTTGTCTGCATGGATTGGGAAAAAAGGGAGTTGGGCACCCGCATCTTCAGTGTGAGTTCAGCCTTCCGAAGCTGTCAAAAACACACAAGTGCAATTCTTGGGGGAGCTGCCGCCCCCTTCCAAAACAACAAAAGAAGGCTAACACATCCCATTTGCAAACGCAGTGTTAACTGTTGCTAAAACATATTTGACTCGCAGTGCTTGTGAAAAGCATATTGTTCCACTCTGCTGCCAGGGCTGACCAACAGGAGGGATCCCACAACAACAAAATGGAGGTCTGGGAATAACTCCACTACATAACACATCCAATAATCACCCACTTTATGCCGTTGATGTGGTGCTAAATGAACCAAAGTGAGGTTACATTTTGCTGGCACAGCCACTGCCGGGTGGTCTCCCAGTCCTTTTGAAAACTGGGCCTTTTTTTATTGGGGGAGCTACACTGGAAAAACTTGTCTGAACCTTGCAGGTAAGCAAACGCACAATACAGTCCTCAAAGTAGGTCAAAGCCCGGATGCAGCCATGAGTGGCATTTTGAATACCGTCTGGCACAAACTGTCTTTCTGTGTGCAGCTCTCTGAAAACTAAGAGAGGTCTGTAAACTTTCAAAGCACTTTTAATGAAGTGACACACAAAGCGGATGGACTGATTTCTGTTGTATCTCCCGCTGACATTGAAAATGAGGATAAGAGACACATTCCGAATCAAAAGGGTAGTCGGCATGAGGCTGTGAGACACAGATTAACAAAAATGTCATTTTCGCTCCGTCTCTGCTTGTTAATGTGACTTTAAATTGGAGCCAATCATCTTATGGAAATGTGGATTGAGTGCAAGACGTATGCAGATCCTTTACTTCTATGTATCCTCATTCAGCCTCTGATCCAACTCATCTTGTTGTATAAATGTATCTAACAGCCAGTCGAGCAGTGTGGGAACCCATAACCAACAGCAACTGAGATTTGTGCACGCTGATGTTGACATAATTAAGCCCATTGTTAGTATTGTGGAATGGAGATTGAGCCTCAGTCTCACTTGATTTATTGTAATGTCTGCAGAGCATTTCTTATATCCTTTTTCTAATTACTCCCAATGAGCAGAGAGTGTGTGTGTGGCCACTGAGAGGAATTGTGCTCTGTCTTCTAACAGACGAAGAGTGTCTTTTAATGCAGACGTCCAGAAAAGTTCAAGTTTAAACTGTCTGGACTCCTCGGACGGTAACTGGTCCAGTCCCTATCGTTACTGTACAGGTAACTATTTGTTTGGCAGTAGCCAAAGAAATGAGGGAAAAACAGTCGTGGACATTTTTCTCCATCCTGACCTTTCTCAGAAGATGATGTGTAATATCCTTGTGATTTTATTTTCGAACCTTAAACACTCAGGGATGACAGTGTGTTGGAAAGTGATGGAATGGAGGTAGAAAGGAGCAATGACTATTTGAAATAGCTGAAAAGTAAACGGATTATGTCTGTCTGCTCTCCTATCCTTCCTCCTTCAAAGTGCTTGTGGTCAATTAAATGGTGGCAAGATGTGGAAAGTGGACATCATCTAGCCAAGAAAATGTATGGAGACGAGGTGCTAATAAATCAAAACGTAACCTGCAAACCTAAGACTCCTTAGGCAAATGAAGTCGCTGATAGATCAGAATAAAAGAGCCAAAGTAAAAACCCATTTAGATGCTTCTGGACTTTTATAGATATATGAGTTGCGAGTGAGAAGGCTGTAATCAACATTAAAATGCAGGACAGTTCTCTTAGAATGAAATGCTTACCAGCATCTGCCAGAGCATAGTACTTTTGTGGATAAATCCCTGTTTTGAGTTAGGACTACAAAAAAGATGCTTTACCTTGGCTATAAATGTATTCTGCACATGTACCTGTATCATTTGCCATTTAACAAACTGCTACATCTCAACAGAAACTTTGATCAAACAAGCAGCACTAAATGCACCTGCAAAGCAAAACAAAGAAAAGAAGAACTTACCTCTCTTAGCTTTTGCTTGTCTCACTCGCCAAACTGTCTTGTGGATCTCAAAGTTGTAATTTGCAGGCAGGGCTTTGATCGCTTCCTGCAGTTCTGGATCTTGAAGTATTTCATCTGGAATTTGATTGGCTACCCGCCGTGGGCCTCGGACTGAACAGATAATTAGATTATTGAGCTGTCAGCAACGTAGCAAACACAAGTTAAATCAAAACCTGCCTCCAACATTTGTTTCCTAAATATCCGTCCTTTCATCGTCTTCTAAGGCTGGATTACAACAAACTGCCAAAACTTTTGAATTCCTGCTGATAGTAGTTCCACTGACTCACTTTTATTCAGTGGGAATGTTTATGTGACTCAAGAAGCTATTCCAACCAAACAAACTTTGAAAACTGATGGGAAATGTGTTGCTAAAGTCAGAAATTACCCAGACCATCATGCCCAGATGATCCTTTCTGCATGTAAAAGTCTGTCAGTAAAAGCCTGATGTTTTTTTGTTTTTTGTTTTTAAATTAACCAATACAAATTAGATTACATTAAAGGCAATTACAAGAATATCTAAAAATATAAAATAAGTGCTCACTTCTCCGAGTCCCTCAAATGCAAAGTACAGCAGACAATCTCACAAATATTTCAACATAACAACAGCTGTCTGCGTTTCATTCTCCCAACATAGACACGAAACACTTTTGTTGACAAATGGAATAATTGAAAATGATTGTTTTATTAACGGGAGGAGTGCACAATAATTCCCCAGCCTGCTCGACGAACTCATTTTGACAAGAATGAAAGCTGAAAGAATGGTTACAATTACTCAAAAGTAAATACGTTGTCTTGTTAGGGCAACAGGATGAGCACAGTGGGGTATGTGGTAAACAGACGCCACCGTTAATGATGTTTCTGTTTGTGTTGTGGGTGTGGGTTGTGCTAAAAACATCGCGCCGTAAACGCACCTCAGTGACGCAGAAGCGGGGAATGGGCGCCAATAGAATTATAATAAGCAGTCTAGCAATGTCTGGATTATATAATAAACAACGACGCTCTTATTTACCTGTGGGTTTTTTGGCAGGAACTAACTGCACCTCAGTCGAGGGCGCAGCCATGATTTTGTTTTCCCAAACACGTGAGAAAGGGAAAGACCAAAGCAATCGAGCTAAGAGAGCAGACAGGATCAAATGAGCACCGATAACACCGATGCCACGCAACGGGACAGACATTATTCAGAGCCCAAAAAATGTCCAGAGTTCGAAGCTAATCGCTCTTAGCTGTTACTGCGATGTGATAAATAAAAAATAAACGGATAAAATAAAACTTAATCAAATAACTTTAGTGCAATCAAAACGTAGTTGAGTGGAAAAATACGTAAAGCTACAGTCAATCATGAGAAAAATATCAAAACAACAAAAAAGAGCAAAACAAAATATAATTGAAAATACAATTTCCAAAAGCCTCAAAACAAGTGTGTGGATATGCACATCAATTAATAAAGAATACAAAAAAATTAACAAGAAAAACAAACAAAAGGTCAAATTAACATCTTTAAACTTAAACCTAAAAAAAATCATCCATATGGTATTTCATTGTGATTTACAAAGACATCCGCATACACAACCTGAAAAAATGCATTTTTTGTATGATGAATGGACGTTAGATTGCCCATTTGTGCATTTCCACATGCATTTTGAGAACCTGTGGTCTCCGTGAGCAGCGTGTCTCGGGTCTGGCGCAAACGGGGACACAGCTCTGAGAGGAATGGAGCATCCTGCTGCCCGGGGGAGAGGGGGAGGGGGGGGGGGGGGGGACCACACTTTCTTCTTCCCTGGGCACACCGGCGATCTGATCCAGAGATTTTTGGAGCTGGGGGAGATTTTCCCATACGAGATCACATTATGTGAGATTTCCGAGTGGAGAGGACAGCTGAATGGAGGAATTTCAAGCGAACTTATGGCATCAAAGAATAGATTTTTAAAGAGGATTTTGAGGACTCTGCGTTCATAATCCGGCATCAGAGGCGGAATTTGAATCATAATTAATTATGTTAATTAGAGTTTTGTTTTTTTATGAAATATGATGTGATTTGAAGAGCTTTGATACAGCGAGAGAAGAATTCGTGAGTGGCCACCATTATTTAAAGATCTGTGGGGTGTTTTTGTGTGTCTGGAGCTCCGTCTTTACAATCAACCCTCTGCCAAAACTGATCTTAAGCCTGCATGGTCATTTAGGGCAGAGAGGAATTGGCTGCCGTCGGGTTGTTTCGGACTGCAGCTGTGCGTTTGTGGCCAACGCACACAGGAGTTATTTATCGGACTGAGAGGATCGTTCTGGCGCGGCTGTTATTGTCGGACTTTTTTTACGAGCGAAGGAGATTGTTGTTTATGAAATCCAGCCCAAAGAGCGCCTCAGTTTAGTGGAGCGACGGCGGTCACGGCGAGACACGAAAGATCCGGATCAACTTCAAAAGGGAGGCGCACAAGTTTTAAGCCTGGAATATAAGGATAGATGATTCGAGCAGGACACAAGACGAAATACACTTAGACCTACAAACATGTTCAAGAGGGGTGAGTAAGACAAGTTTTTGTCCGAGGTTAACTCTTCTCCCTGCAGGATTGGGTTTCATAAAGATTCCTGAACGTCTTCAGTGGTCGTGCCCCCCTCGCAAGCAGATGTTTGACGAAAATCTAACATCCCAATCCACTCTGCTGCCCTGCAGATGTGTGGAAGCAGACGATGCGCCATTTGAGGCGCATCGTTAATTTGCACAACACGCACCGAAGGTCTTTGGGAATTAAATATTCATCGGTGTAAGGATACATCGGGACGACTGTGTGATATTAATACAGCTGATGCCGCACTGCAGTTTATGAGTTTTTGCTCGGGTCACAGGGCTACGTCTACAAACGTTGCACTCAAGATGATAGATTATTGTCTGCTGTCTGTCAGATATGCCGTGGAGCTAATTGCAGTTTACAACAGTCTTCATTCATTGTGAGTGCACTCAGGACCCTAAGCATCAAAAAGAAAAGCCACTCAAACTTTTAATATCCATATTCCTCACTAAGTTTTGCAAGATGTTTGTGTCCCGAGGACTGTTTCCTTCACACTTGACTTTAATTGGCCATAGAGCTATTTATATGTTTGCATAGTGGGGAGAGTAACATATCCAATTAGAATGAATTGCAGCACTGCTTTCAGTTAGGGGTTGAAATAATGAAATGAGATTAAAAGCATTTCTCATTCTGCTGTGGTCTTTTGAGGACCCACACCCTTAGGGCCTTGGACATGCCCAGACTTCACCTCAGCCATCGCTGTGGTCGAATTCATGTGCTAAACACTTTGTCATCACAGACACCTGATCTGGTCTTTTGTTACACTTTCAAAAACCACACGTACACACACACACACACACACACACACACACACACACAAAGCTATATCCTTGGTAGAGGTCACCAAAAAACACCCACAACTTGTGCCGGCATTGTAGTTATTTAGTCTGTCTTGTGAAAAAAACATCTGTCGAGAGTGTGTTTGTTTCTGCTGTGTGCCTCGGGGGCAGAGAAAAACATGTTTCTCTTTCTGCCATCAGATCGATTATTGCTGTTCCAACAGTTGAGATAAAACACACCGTAGTGATAACTGCTTAAAGCAATAACAGCTTTCAGGGAAGGTTTAACATCTAACCTGCATCCTGACAGCCTCTCAACCAAGAAAAGACCAACTCTTTAGCATTTTTCAACCAGATATGTTACACATCTGGAGTTTTTGGGGGGGGAAATTGTTTGAGTTACCATATACATTATTCTAGGAGCTGAACAATTCATGTCGTTTTAGTGTTACACATTGCTAAGGATATTTAGATACCTCTATATATCACTAGTTCACTCATAAGATGATTCAGCTTCAGCTATTAGCTTGTCTTTTTCTGTAATAGGTTAAATAGAGATTTGATGCACACCTGGTTTAAGGGATTTGTGTCCAACTATTCCAAGCCTACCCTAACCCTGGTCTGCCAAAGATTTCTGGATGCGAGATCAGCTGTCTCACTCCTGCACAGAACTGGACAGAGAATAACTTCATTCAAGAGGAATGACTTCACAGCAAAGAATTCACCAGTCTGCCAAAGGTGCTCAGCATGCCAACACGTCTGAGTCTACAATAGTGAAGCAGAGATGCGTCAGCTTTGGCAGGAACAGTGTAGAAGTTTTCTGGTAAATGAGATTTTTTTTTTTGCACCTAAAATAACACATTCTGGGGAGCCTGGCTGATGCACAAGGCACCACAGTCATTGTGACAGATGCACCATTCACAAACACGTAGAGGGAAGGTTCACGCTGCAGTCTTTGAATTAACATTATTGCTGCTTGTACTTGGTAATCATTTTTATGAAGTGCAGAAGGCTGTGATCATTGAATGGCTCCCGTTTAGATCCTTGACTCTGGTTCAGTTTTTTTCATTGAATGGTCACGTCTTACAGAAATGTCTGATGATGTTCAGGATTCATTTTTTTGTGCAACCATCTGTAGTTGACAAAACCAGTCCTCATATCTTTGCTTGGACTTTTCCAAGGTTTGCAGGTTATATAACCGAGACTCCACTTGGCCACATGTGTGCAGTTACGTAGCCATGCATGCATACATCATTCATACGTCACTTGTTCTTTGTCCTCACTCTATGTTGGTCTCACTTCACAGTTTCCCCTTTTTCTTAAAACCAGTCATCCACAGAGTGGGCACAAGGGATGATCTGTCAGAGCAGCTCTGAGACGGAAAGGACAAGATGTCCATTGAATTTACCATGCTGTGGCATGCTGTAATTGCTGCTGTATGATCATTGAGAAGGGGGCTCAGCTTAGGCTATTTCTGCTTTGGTTTGTAACAAAATATGTCAGGCAGACCAGCAATGACAGATAGCTGTCTCTGCTTTTGAATAAATGAAAAAAATTACATGTGTGGTTTGTATTGTATGTATCTCTTCCCATCTTGCATTGGGAAGAGATACATTAACTATCTTTTTTTATCTTCTTACTCACAATGTTTTCCAGTGTGTTTGTTTTAATAGTCCTCCAAAAGTTGCAGCCATTAAATAAGCTTGGGTCTGTCTGATTTGACACAAATCAGATTTTTTATATGTTGACCATATCCTAATCAAGTGTCATTTGATATTTCTGCACAGTGCCTCAGATTAATTTATTTTAGGTTCATATACACTACAGTGTTATTATTTCTAGAGGCTGGCGGCTTAGAACCTTGTGAAATCATTAACAATCAATGATGTATTTTGAAAACAGCTGCAGTTTGGCTGTCACGTGACTTACACAGCTCATATCAAATCAGTAACATTCTAAAACATGCAAAACCACAGATAAGCAGTTTCAAGTTTCAGTACTTTAAGTGCTACCTCAGACTTTATGTCTGAATCTCAGGTTAATCCATCATGATCCATAAATCCAAGTGCTTAATGTAATAAATGCTGATGCGCTAATAAAACACTTACGCATGCCAACACACGAACACACACAAGTGCGCACCATAGGGTTTGCGTAATTATAACATGCATTTGGACTGAACTCATTCAAAGTGTTTAGTATTGTAAATGGAATTTAGCTCGAACAGAACAGAAAGAAGCATATCAGCACAACAGAAATATGCAAAGTTCATGTTTATTCACACAAGCTTACAAATCAGCAAATGTATGAAAACCAATTAGCTGAAATTATGAACATTCATATATGTATCTACAAGCAAACAATAAAAAACATGGGCTTTTCTTTAACTCACCAGCTCGTCCGAAGCATTGCTGCGATAATTAAATGCAACGAATTTGCCATATTTTGAAAAGCAACTGTAAACACACACGCATTAATAATAAAGTAACACGCTGCTCATATTGTTTTCAGTACACGCACACAGGGCTGGAGAATTTTAATGATTTGAGCAGCACAAATGCAGCACAAAGGAAACACCTGTGGACTGTTCTCAGCTTATGAAGGCTGTGACTCACGTTGGCAACCGGGCAGCTCTTCAGCCACCAGCTCCACCTCGGTGCTCCACAATGTGAAAGAAACTACACACTGCATGGGGCTCCCCTCTTCTGTCTGTGGGGCTTTTTAACCAAAGGATGGTATGACTCATAACCTTCAAGTGCAACGCCGAACACTGCAAAAGCTAAATATCAAAGTCGTTGAATCAAATGGTAAGCAACTGCCATGACTGTCTCGGATGTGAGAGCCACAGACAGTGCTCCAAGCAAACACAAATTTGCACAAGAGTAATACGGGCCCATCTGTCACTGGGTGTTACAAACTTTCAGCCATCTTCAAGGCCCTGGGAGACTTCTATTTAAAGGGAATAAATTCCTTGCTCATATTATCGCCATCGTAATCCTCTCCGCGTTGGACTTGTGTGATCACTGCTTGTCAGCGTTTCATTGTTGTACATTTCCGGTGCCGCTTGTGTTTTCTGTGCTGGTGAGACTGTGCGGGCTGATGACTGAGAGTTGGGAGGAGAAGAGGTTTGAAGAGAAGTGAAGAGGATAATGTGAAGAGGAGGAAAAATATAAACCTAAAAACTGATCCGCTAAATCTTTCTAAGCTGCCTGAAAAATAGAAAGTAAATCTGAGTGCCGGATGACATTTCTACCTCGGCCTGACATTTGTTTAGAAGTGCAAATTTTAAAACCCTTCTTCCCCTGTTTGACGGTTGAGTAATCTAAACAAGTAGTATTAAACGCACTGGCAAAAAGTCTGTTTGTTTACCTATGCTAACACTGGGATGTAGATGGATAGGCAAATAAAAGCCTGAACAAACTGGCCACTTGGTATTCTGTAGATCTCGCCTTGAAAACACAGCCTAAGATAATTGACAGCAAAACATTATACGTTATTGGATAGCTGAGCCACATTTATTAGACTCGCAGGCACTGCACCTCGGGCTCTGTCGGCGCATTCCAAACGTCTGATTTAGCCAAAGGAAATTTCTTGAAACCCAAAAGCCATTCATTTGCTACCCAATTCTCGGGAGTGTGTCCGTAAGGGACTCTAGCAATGTTTGATGAAATGACTCCGACCAGAAAAAAGACAAAAAAATTAGCAAGTGTGTGCATGTGTGTGAGGGTGTGCATATGCAGAGAAGATAGCATCAACTGGTGAGGATGTCCAACTCTTGTTTTTGTCCATGGGAGCCTTTCCATGAAGAATTAAGTCACGAGGGCTCTAAGCTTAGGGTTGGATTTGTCGCTCTAATGCAGCACAGGACTGTTTTATTAATGTAGTCTGAGGAGACATCTGAGTGATCCAATTCACATCAGATTTGGACTTTACAGAGGCAAAGGGAAAACCAGCAGAGCCAGCAAAAGCTAGCAAACAAATATGTCCTCCACTGTTAGAAAGAAATCTCCTGATTCGGGTGCAACTACCATTTTTTAAGCCTCTGTTGTGGAAATGAGATGCAAGGGTGGTCATTAGTGGATGATAATGAGGTGAGGGAGACAAACAACCTAAGCCCTGTTGGTTTTTCTGATATTAATAATTAATGTGTGATTAAGTGGCTAATTGGAGTTT